GTGAAGAATCCTGCACTGACACCTGTCGGATATAATCCAACGCCCTTCGTGGTATTAGCCAGGGGAGTAGTTGTTTTCTGATAGGTGTCAGTCCATTAACCTACTGTGTAGGGTGTTGAGACTGGCCTGAACGAATTGTTCTTTTATATGATTTGATTTATAGCCAGTCTTCAAGTATGCCCACTGACTATACGTGAAAGAATTATAGATTATACAATTCAAAATAGAGATAATTGAGGAGAATATTGTAAAGAATACATAAAAGACGACATTTGAATTTTGATAGGCCAATACCCGTGATTTCTAGATGTAATTTTTTTTCATTGAACATTCTAAGTAAACGATCAATAGGAGAGTGCATTTCATGGTTTGTATGTGTGAAACATCATTATTTCTGATGGTTTTCTTTGGCACATTTAGATCTGGGCATGTAATAAGGCCATTAATTTAATTTGTTTATAAATATTAGGTCGGCATTCTCTCTTCTGCTCAACAAGTCCAGGTTAAGACTGTTCAAAAGAATTGTATGATCATGATTGTCAATGTGCATATTTTATAAGAATTCTTGTTGGACTCTTTCCAATGTGACACAGTATAAAATGGTGACCAAATAGTCGAACCATATTCTACGGAAAAGATAATTTTTCTGTAAACGTACGTTTCTCTTGGTAAAAATAAATTATTACTAACTCCGTTTGCTTGTATTTATGACGATCTTGTGTTACAGCCGAAACCAACCAATCCATTCAACCGAAACGCCGCCCGTGCTCTGAATGTCCGCTCCGCCAGACGCAGTCTTACTTTTGACAAGGACGAGGATCTTCTCACGTCAGAAAAAACTCACTTCAAACCGATCAACGAGAAACCAGACAACAGCTACTCTAACTATAAGGACGGCGCCACTTTCAACATCTCCAATACTTTGAACAAGGTAGAATACAAAAGAAGTGGGAGCGGTACCTTGTGGTTAGAAAACGAACAAGGCCAGTGCACAAAATATTTCGAATACAAGGGTGAGGGGATGGGCTCCTCGTCCGAATCAGGATTTGTTATCAAGTTTAAAGTTAATCAGAACGACAAGGCTTGTCAGACCGAGAAACTGTCTGTATTGGATTTTGAAACTGTAAAGGATGATACTGAAGTTGAGGAGGTGAGTAAAAAGAGTGTTCTAGAAATGAGACCAAAAACAATGAAGAATAGCGTGCAGACTATCTGTGCAACAGTTGTGACTTTTTTATCTATACTTTTTTCAAAGCTTCATTGTATTAGGTTGTATAGCCGTAATACTGCTATAGATAGCAGTATTAAGGCCGATTTCATAAAGAAACATAAAGGTTACTTTAACTTTAAAGGATACTTTAATAAATATTTTTGATTTCATAACCAACTTTAAGTATTCTTTAAGTCTAAAACGCCCTTCAAGGTTAAAGTTCGATTTCTCTATTTTAACTCCCTAAAGTGTCATTTAACGACAATATAACCTCAATTTTTATAATTGTGATTTTTTGTGCTACTCGCTACGTTTGCTAGTTTTGTGTTCGTTTAGTCGTTGATCATAATAATATGAATAATTTTGAAACGTCAAAATCCATGAATTCTTCCAGGTTAACCAACATCTTAACAATTACTTGAAAGATACTTTATGGAAATGGCAACAGCTACTTTAAAGGGGACTTTAGTGAAAAGTCTCCTTTTGGTAACGTGGACTTTAGATATTGATTATGAAATCGGCCTTTAGTTGAACTTTCAATTGTTTGATTTCCGCTATAAAGGGTTTTTACAAAAACTGCGACACGTGTTTTGTGTCGCGGTTTTTGTAAACTGTATTAATTAGTTTTTTAATATGGATTTTTATCAAGTATC